CCCCCCCCCTTCCTCTCCCTCTTCTCCCTCCCCTTCTTCTACTCCCTCTTCTCCCTCTCCTTCCACTCCCTCTTCTCCCTCTCCTTCCACTCCCTCTTCTACCTCTCCTTCTTCCACTCCCTCTTCTCCCTCATCTTCTTCCATCCCTTCTCCCTCATCTTCTTCGACCCCTTCTCCCTCATCTTCTTCGACCCCTTCTCCCTCTACTTCATCTTCTCCTTCTTCTTCCCCTTCCTCTTCTTCATTTTCCCACTCCTCTTCCTCCTTGTTTTCATCTTCTTCCCCCTCCTCCCCTTTTGCTTCTGCCTCTGCTCCTTCCTCTTCCTCGTCCTCATCTTCTCTTTCCTCTTCCACTTCATCCTCTCCCTCTTCTCCTTCTTCTTCCACTCCATCCTCCCCCACCTCCTTAGTCCTCCTATTTGCATCTTCCTCTTCCTGTTCTTCTTTGGATACCTCTTCTTCCTCCCTCCCTGTCAATGATTCTTCTAAGTCCTCCTCTTCACCCTCTTTGTCTTTTTCATTCTCACTTTCTTTGTTTTCTTCTTCATTTTCCTTTTCATCTTCTCCTTCCTCTTCTGCCTCTACCTCTTTTTCTTCCTCCCCCTCTCTATCTTCACCTCCTTCCTCACTCTCATCTCTTCCCTCACTTTTAACCTGTTCCTCCTTTTTTTCCCCAGTGTCTTCCTCTTTTGCATACCCCTCCTCCTCCTCCATATCCTTGTCTTCTCCCTCACTTGGCACTTCTTCTTCCTCCATCAACCTGCCTTCCTCATCTCCTTGCTCTTTGCCATCTTCCTGATTAATCTCTTCAATCTCTTCTGCACCCTCATTCTCACTGTCTCTTTCAGCCTGTGATTCCTCTCTTTCATTTTCTTCCTCATTATCTTTTTCCTCTTCGTCTTCATCTCTTTCTACTGAAACGTCATATCTATCTTTTTTAACCTCACTCTCTTCTTCTTCCTCCCCTAGTTCACCTTCACTGTCAACTGTTTCATCTAGTTTTTCTTTTTCACTTTCACCCTTTTCACTGACTTCACTCTCCTGCTCTTGATTAGATTCTTCCTCATTCTTAATTTCTAACTGCCTGTCTTCATCAGATTTAGCTTCAGAGTTTGTTTCTTCCTCATTCAGACTTTTTATATCAGTCTCTTCTACATATTCTTTCTCGTTGTTTGTAGCTTGCACCTCCTCAATCTCACTGTCTTCTTTTTCTAAGTCCAAATCTTTCACATTTTCTACTGTTTTCATTGCCTTCTGGATCCCTCTGTCTTCATAGTAGTCCTCCTCTTTTTCCCTACTCTTACGTACGTATTTTGCAAGATCATTACTACTTTCCCCAGATGAAGATGATGACATAGTTACAGCCATTTGTTTTAAAAATTGATCCTTTTGTTTTAAACCCCTCTGCTCTTCACTACTTTCTTCTCCTCTGACGCATATTCTTTCACATTTATCAGATTTTTCAACAACATCCTTTATTTTGTTTCGACTTTCGACTGCTTCTTGACTTCCTTGCTTTTTAACAGGACTGTATTTTTGTACAATTAATGAATCGGGCTGGGGCTGATCCCTGGATGCAAAAGGAAGTACATCTATTTTAAGGGATTGCTTAGACTTAACAGCCTTTGACTTTTGATTGGAAGAATTTGTTTTTTCAGTCAGAATTTGTTTTTCAGTGGGAAGGTTGTAAGTTACTTCCTCTCTGACAAATTCAGGATTTTCCACATATTCTTTTTCCCTTTTCACTAATCTGCATTTTTCCTCAGTAATTTGTTGAACACAACTTTTCAAAGTGCTAACACTTTGTGCATGCTCAGATTTACCTTTCATTGTATTTTTTTTGGCCACAGGCTTCCCTACAAAGGCACTACTTTTTTCTATATCTTGTCCTGGTGATTCTGAAAGTGAAGACTGCTTTTGTAAAGAGCCAGAGTCTAATTTTGAGCCCTCCTTCATGAAATGAGAATCCTTGTTTTTCAGCCCACCCTTACCATCTCTTTTCAGTTTCACATTTTTATTGTTCTTCTATTCCACATGAGAAGCAGAAAATTAAAAAGAAAGAAGGAAAGCATTAAGGACAAATGACAGCAAAAGAAAAAGGTTACAAAAACATCTGAACAAGAAAAGAAATAATTTGTATGAGGGGACTAAAAGATAGCATAAAAGGTAGAGTCTTTCACATGAAATGAATTTACAAGTGCACATATTAGAAGAATGTAACATTTTGTCGATGATAAATGTACTACTACTCCTTTTTCGCTATCCAAGCACACAAAGTGAATGCAAGGAGACCTGTACAGCCAGTATCATGTCCCATAGGCTAGAGCACATGCGATGTGTGAGGCTGTGCGAACAGAAGGAAAGAACTACAGTTCTCTCACACCTTCCTCCACCTTTCCCCTGGGGAAATCTTCTGATGCACTCACTGTTACGCTTTTTCTAATATGCCTGAAAATCTGTTGTCCTTCTGCTTTAAATTTTACACTCATTAAACAAATTCTGCAGAATAGTTTTTAATTATAAAATAAAATTATAATGAAATATACCAAAATGCTGAAATGCTGTGATCACTTTAGGAGTGAAATAGAAAGATAATACAAAAGTATTTTAATTTCATAATTAAAACCAGTATTATTGCTCCTTTAAATATACTCCATGGTGAATTTCTGTAAATAAAATCTTTACTTACATTGTGTCCCAAATGTCAATTAAAATACTTTAATATCAACAAACCAGTAGAAATGTATGTTATCAGCGTAAGTTACAAAGTGTACATGATAGTCTTTTGTTCCTTAAACTGGTGAAGTATTATATACTCTCATCTCAAACTATGCTGGATATGAAGAGTTCTATCTGTGTGCATAAATTCCCTCTGACTTCTGTCAGCTTCTTCGAATTTTACCTCGTGGACATTCAGAAAATTAGCAAGAGGAGGCCTATAAAATTTGCCTAGCTTTTGAAACTCAAAGCAAAACAATAAATTACAAGGATAATACAAGAATTATAGGTCTTTTAAACATCAGTATAAGTATACATGTATATATATTATTAGTTACAGTACCTTTTGTTTTTGGAGTGGTGATAATTTTAACGACTGGTCACTGGGATTCAATTTCATCGCATGTGTCTGCAAAGAATAAGATCTCTATTAAAAAAATACATATAACTAATAGGGAAAGCAGCATCAAAGCCCAGCTCTATTAAACAGAGCTATTTAAGTTATATGAACATTTTAATACTATTGCACAGTCAGGTTGAGACAAATCTGTATGATCACTCAACTCACCTATTTCACTTCCACTCCCTCATTTACTCCTTATACAGAGAGGGAGTGGTAACCAGCTTAGATGTCAACACCTAAACTGTCTGTAGAGACTGAAAGCTACATGCCCTCTCTTACAGCCCGCCAGCACATTTTAGATCCACCTTCCACTCACCGTGAAGTTATGGCTACAAATATAACACCTTACTCCCTTATCATCACAACCTTCAACTTAACATCCAGTTTGATACGACAGCGTTGAAAGAACATGTTCAAAGCAACATTATACAGCAGAGATTTTCACTGGAATCTAATGCCTTTATCTCTTTTATATAAAGCAAAAAAAGAAAAGGCAAGGCAACGTAGAATACTGCTAGGTGGGCAAGTATAGTGAGATTTTGGTCATCCCTTCCCATATACTCCAAATGACAAGATAATGTTCTCTGCTGCTGTTTGTTAACTGCTTATGGTTTAACCGCCATATTCTTTTTCAACACAGTGAGCATGGACAGTTCTGGTTTCTGACTCCGAAGAATTTGTACCATCAATATGATATTAAAGGTCTTTCCTCCTCGTCACACTTGTCAATAAGATGTATGTTGCCACAGTTTAGAAAAATTGAAACAACTATGCTGTAACAGATTATTTTCATTCAGATTCAAGAGGAGCAATAATTTTTCTTTATATTTTGACAAGTTTGCCTGACAGAATTTTTCAAATTTACTGTTTCATTCTGACAAATGTTTTAAAATTGATTCACAATGGGTACGAAAACAAACAGGAGAAGAAAGTCTAGCACAAAAAGTGTGCACTATGTTATAAATAATGAAGGCCACATTATGCAGCATATCTGAAAACAATTTATTGTAAATGAAAATGAAGTTTTATAACTGTTAAATAAATGGTATGCACAAACAGATTATTAAATTACTAAGTACTGTTACGTACAAACAAGTAATAATTCCTGTAAAATGTGCAATCCCTCCAGCATAACTGACAACGCATCCTGAGGTGAGTCCACAGTGAGTTGCTCATTTGTTTCCATTCCACTGAAGTTAAAAATAAAGACAAAACCCAACACTCCAGTGCACTGCATTAAGGCCAGGACATGCCTTATCTGCTGAGAGAACAAAATGTTTTGGAAAGCTGTACAAGTGATAAGGTGAACATATTTTTTAAATAAGAGAAACACGTAGGAACATGCTTGGGGATCACCAAATAATCAAAACGTCTGCGTTTTGGTCTTCCATTTTGTGCTGGTTTTGGCTGGGACAGAGTTAATTTTCTTCATAGTAGCTAGTATGGGGCTGCGTGTTGGATTTGTGCCGAAAACAGTGTTGATAACACAGGGATGTTTTAGTTACTGCTGAGCAGTGCTGACACAGAGTCAAGGCCTCTTCTGCTTCTCACCCCACCCCACCAGCCAGTTGGCTGGGGGTGCACGAGACATTGGGAGGGGACACGGCTGGGGGCGCCGATGACCAAAGGGATATCCCATACCATATGATGTCATGCTCAGCATATAAAGCTGGAGGAAGAAGAAGGAAGGGTGGGGAGTAATGGTGTTTGTCTTCCCAAGTCACCGTTACACGTGATGGAGCCCTGCTGTCCTGGAGATGGCTGAACACCTGCCTGCCCATGGGAAGCAGTGCATGAATTCCTTGTTTTGCTTTGCTTGCGCACGTGGCTTTTGCTTTACCTATTAAACTGTTTATCTCAACCCACGAGTTTTCTCACTTTTACTCTTCCAATTCTCTGCCCCATCCCACCGGGAGGAAGTGAGAGAGCGGCTGTGTGGTGCTTAGTTGCTGGCTGGGGTTGAACCACGACACCTTTAATATGATCCACCTGTACTAAAAAAACTCTTCTCGGAACAGGAAAAGACAGCTCTCCGCTCCATTTCCTGCAGTTCTCTTTCTTGGAAATCATCAAGATGAGGAAAGTCAGAAATAGAGATCACCATGTGGTATCCAGCGTCCTTCCCCTTTTCTTTCTGATATCCCGAGCTAAAGTGTGGGGAGGGGCTGCACTACTTGGACTGCTTCAATCTCATATTATGACATTACTTGGAAAATGAAAACAAACTTTAGCATTGGATAACGATAATATGAAATGCACGCTCATTTAACAGTATGTCAGTACTTCTTGATGCCACATATGACGTTCTGGGCTAGCCAGGAGTTCTGTACTGGAACTTGAAACATGATTTAGCTGCTTTGTTCTTCCCCTGCATAAAACTGATTGAATCACAGATTCATTAGTGGAATATATTACCATATTTAGGATGTCAGTTGTATCTCCAAGGTTTCTGTCATTATTTTCATTATCTGAATCTTCTTCTGCAGAGCCTTCACCAGGTTTATCTTTCTGATGATTCTTTTCTTTAAGGTAAAATTGGGGGAAGTAAACAAATACCATAGGAACAAGCAATACACACCAAACAGAACACCCCACTCTTGCAAAATAGAGATTGTCTCTATTTTACTGACATAGGACTGAAGTCCTGAGATTCCTCATTCCCCCAACCTAAGACACAGCAGTAACACTTCCACCTCCTTTTCATCAGTATTAACATTAGAGGTAGCTCAGCAATCTGGCCTCACTGCACTGTAGATCTCTGACCATTTTTGCAGGCTTTCAAAGCATAAATACTATATGGGACAAAGCTTCTTTTGGATAATCACTTTAATAACAGTGTACCAATTAGACTAAATTAGCTGCGGTCGTATTATCTACATTGCACATTATCTGTGTAATGGATGGAGAGACAGTGAGTTTAACTCCAATGCAGCATCATAAAAATGTACCTACATCATTTTCAGGTTCACCTCAATTTCATCAGGTATATGACCAGTTTCATATGGCACAAAACCTCAGGTTTTAGGCCTCAGAAGACTCTAAAGGCAATTCAAATTTCACTGCATTGCTTTTCTCGAACCAGAAATGCTAATGGACATGCTGGCAGCTTTACAAATAATCAACTTAATTGTAACTGAATTAATTACTTTCAAATTGGATTTGACTGTCCAATAAATCTGAGCTAACTTTTACACAGAAGCACTGCATTCTGCACTCTTCAGCACTGCTCTTCCCAGGAAATCACAGATGCCCAGGAACCCAGATGAAGTCCAGAACTGCTCTAGAGAATCTGTGCAAAAGTCCAGCACTGTATCAGTATCATTGTTATCCAGGCTTTTGCATTAGCTAGAATATTGCAAATCCTTATTATCTTAGATAACAGAGAGTGATTGCATTTCCAAGCGAAGAAAGCTCCTATAGGAATTCGTAGACCTCTTTTCTTATCCAAGGTCTCCCATAGGCCTTCCTGTGTCCTTATGACTGTTCCTAATAAATTTTTTTCTGTAATTCTTTTTTTTCGTGAAAATGGAGAAAGTGGTTACAAATTTTACAGTATTTTTGTGAAGTCGTATTTCCACAGGCTTGAGGAACCTCAGGTACAATTCAGAAGTTGTTTTTCTTTCACTCAACCCTCCTCTAAATCTTTAAGCACATTTTTCCAAACATGAACCAAGTGTGAGGCAATTTCTTGTATGCATTTCTCAACTTTCATGTCTGTATTCTGCTAGACCCTCTTGAGGTAAGACTGAACTTAAACCTTCTTTCATGTTCAAACTGAGCATTTGTTTAGGAATTATGAGAGCCAAACTACATAATTCTCAGAAAACAGCAACAAAATGTGGAGACGCTTCACCTTTTTCATGGTCTCTATCCTTCACAGGTTCAGCTTTAGGAAGACTTGTTGCAGAAAAACAGAGTGGGCTAGTGTTGCTAGTCACAGGCAATAAAGATTTTAAGAAGCTTTGTCCCAGTGGAGGCAGAGTTCGTGCCAATCGAACAAACTGTTCTGGTGACTCTTCCTTCAGAAGATTAAAAAAAAAAATTATTGAGAATAAGAGTAGAAGAATAAAATGTAAGCAACCTCTCGTACTTAACAGTGATATTTTCCTTTAGTTGATGATACAGTGTTGTAACTTTGTATGCAAAGCATAAATAAAATTTCTTGTATATTTTAATTATTTATAAAAAGTGGAGAGAGATAGTGGGATATTTTAGGTCGTTTCTACACAATAATCTCAAGCAGTCTTAAAATATAGACAAAGCATAAAAAGAATTTTGATTTTTTTAAAAATGAAAATACTAGTTTCTCAAATAACACTGAGTTACTTAATCCATGGCATCAATATATTTTTACAAAATAAATGTGGTTTTGTGGTAGAGTTAGATTTCAGACAGGCGCTGCTAAAGAAATCACATGGAATGTGTAGTGGAGATAAAGGAGAAGAAACTACTATATTAAGTAGCTACAGGATCTTAGGATCATTTTAAGCTGACTGTGAAACTTTCCCCTTTGATATTTCATAAACTATGAACTCGTTTAATCTATTCAAGGACTCAGAGGGAACACCAAAAAGAGTCAGGTTCTTGTTCTTTTTTTGAGTATTTCTAAGATATTTTTAAAAATGCAAAGGAACAGGCTCTACACTTTAGAATAAAAAAAATACAAAACCAATTTGAGTTTTTTCATAGAAAGAACGAAGTAAAATCTGACCGATACCTATCTTTTACCTGCATCAATCTTGGGACCAGGGTAGATACTCATTCTTCTTCTTATACATTAAAATGAAACACGTATTTTAAGGAGATACATTTATCTGCTGGGTATATGCTGTGATTTTAGTTTAAAAAGTTCTTTTGTTTCCTAAAACAAGTATGGCAACTCTAAACAGCTCTGAATTTACCCTCTCTCGACGTCGCATTCGTGCTGATGTTAGTTGTAAGGTGTTTGTTAGTAGTGAGTCTCCACTCATTTTAGAGATAGTAGCAGTCAAACGGCTCTCACATAAATCTTCTAAGAGTATTTCTTCAGATCCTTTAGGTCTTGGAGCAGCAAAAACTAGCATGTGACAACCACCACAAGCAACCTACAGCACCAGAAAAAGGTCTGCTTATTTAATTTGCAAGTATCAATACAAGGATCTAATTTTCTTACAATCATCTCTAGGGACTTAGATTATACGAAAAACATTATAAAAGTAAGAGATGTTAAATTGCTTCAAATTTAGCTGCTAATGACGTTAGCAAGATAAAAGTACATAATTACAATTATTAATGACTAGGGATCTACGTTCATTTCTTCTTACTTAAATACAACATATTTGTACTGAACAGAACACAAGATAGGTCTATCAAATTATTGGCACAGAAGAGAGCAAAGATATTTCCACTGATTTCGAAGGGATTGGAGCTAACTATTTTGATGCAAGTCAAATGTGGGCAATACTGATAACTTAAGTGATATAAATCTAGATATTTTATCACAAAATCCACAAAATGTAATGCAAAGTCCTTCATCCTCCAATAGACAAAGTATAATTACATAAAGATCAGAGGTTTCACTTTCTAAAAGTTTAAATCCCTTACCGCTTCAGATAAAACTTCCTTAAACTCTAAGTCCAGTAAACAAACAGAAGTGAGCCACAGACTTTTGTCCCAAATTTTGCTCAATCCTGAGTCATCTTTGCATTTTTGATGCTGGCAATTCTGTGATATTTATTTCTTAAACACCTCAGGAAATAGATGAAAACAATGCCCTTAAAAGAAAACAGTATTTCTCATCCCCTTTGGATTCAAAAAAGCAACTCCTCAAATTTTCTTAAGATTTAATAAAAATCCCACTGTACAAATAATCATTAAAATTAAAAAGATGTCACTCCAGTGTTTTCAGGAACAGGTATTAGTTTCCCCCCTACTGCGAACAATCTAAAAGCAACAAATACTCAACTTTATAGGCTACTACCAGCTCTACAGACCAAAACACTATAGCACAACACTACTGAATAAAACCCTAAAAAGCAGTCTATATGTGTTGTCCAAGCCAAGTACATTCTAAACTAAATGAACAGTGTGATAAGTAAATATAATTTCCTTTTTCTTTCAAGTTGTGTTGTCTATTAATTAAATGTCGTAGAAAAAAATAATTCTATAATGAGATTTCAACTCTCATTAATAACGTATTTCATAAAAATGTAAACATTTTGATGTCTGAGAAGCAGGAACAGAAGTTTTACCAAAAGGACTGTGAACCTCAAGAAATTATAACACAGAGTAGGAGCAAACTGATTTGTAAAATTCTCTTCTCCAAGTCCTAACTTGCCGTGTCGCCCATCTCCAAAAGTAAACATGAGGCCATTCTCTGTATGTAGGGA